ATGCGTAACGTGAATTACTGTCGTTCATATCTCCCATGGTGACATAATATGTGCTTGAAGCTGAAACGTTAGAGTAGATTAAAAAATATTGTACATCAAGTGTGACCGCTTGGTTGGGCAGGCGCATATATCACACGTTATTAGCATGTATTGAAAATGAATTTTAGTGTACAAAGATGAAGACCTGTCCCTCTGATTTTAAAATGATTTTCTTTTTGGTATTTGTTTCTGTACACGTGCTATTGACATAGAACTATTGAGCGCGATGAATCACTACGAGAACGATACGTTACAGTTTTTCATAACATTTTGAGTGGGGGGTCTTTGGCAAACAAACTTCACTTACTCTTTTGCTTTGCACTTCAGCCTTATAGTGAACGAACTGCGTGACAATTGCAGCGTTAGCAATCATATTTTAGAGCGAGACAAGGTACGGCAGGGCGAATCTTGCCTGCGTTTCAATAGCCATGAGTACTAGTCATCATGTTAGTTAGATCAGCTAGCGATCAGGAGTAGAACCGAAAAATGATAGACCTCCTTTGTATGAGGGTAGAAATCGCAAGATATTGACCACGCCACGAAATAACGTTTTGTCAGTTATTCACAGGATATCAGTTTGTTACCGTTTTCTGTACCCTTTGCACTAAAGGGAAGTAGGCTTTTTTATTAGGCTTTGTATTACTTGAATTCACGGCACACCTGAGATTCAAACCCGCGGTTACCGGCTTTGTTTATCTTGAGCCTGCCATTGTATGAGAACTTTTGTATTTTTTACCTGTTGAAAGATGGCATTACTATGAAAAAATAGTTTCAGGCGTTTTCTGACCATTGATTATCTGTTTCTCATGTTTTTTTGTTAGCAAAAACTCTGTTTAAATGCAAACCGTTTTAGACTTGTCGTCTGTTCGGGATATCAAATGGTAAATGACTGAAGAGTGTGGTCTTCGATAAAATGCTTAACTTGTTACAAGTTCGTCATTTCAGTGGCCATGTGGAAGCTGAGATTGGGGATTTTTCCCTTAAGGTTCCAGCTCAGAGTTCTATCTCGACCAAAGTTAGCTCTGTACCCGAAAGCCTACCCAATAACGACGCGGAGCAGCGGTATTTGTTGCTATAAAATTTTGAATTTTAAACCGTGTATATGAAAGTTTAGCGCTGCTGTATTTTAGACAAAGCAGCTTATCATCGAAAGAAACCGTGATGGGATCTTCAAATTCGAGTAAGTTCAGGACGCATAACTATTCTGTTATTTCATTCAGTTTTGTCGCCCTGTTGAATAACGAGGATAGTAGCTACTGGAGGATTTCCACTGCTTATAGACCCTAGGATTTTGAACTACTCCACAGACTGGAATCTAATTCCTGATTATACTGGGCGTTCAATATGCCTGATAATTTCAGTCCTTGGTTTGCTCCATGGCTGCCTGCTGACTTTGTAAAAGGAATCCATCTTGTGAGTCTCTTCTTTTTGATCTTTTGATCAGAAAAAACATAGACAGTTCACAAGCGAGGGGACTCTATTTTGCGGGTTGTGAAATCTGCAATCGTCATTACTAACTATTTATCAAAGAAACCTAACTTCTGCCGTTTTCATCCATGGCTGGCACACTTTTGGTCTGCATCCTGCATTTATAGTTATGGATGAGGGGCGAAAGCAGATTTGAAACTGATTGCCTATCATCATTGCCCAGCTTCAGGCTTAGAACCAATAATGGCTTCATGAGGCTTCGCAATATGTTTATTTAATTACGCGAGCACTGCTGCTTGAACTAGATATTGTATTGAGTTTTGAGAAGTGTATTTTGGACCCCGACTTTCAGACCTTCGATTTGTACTGCAACATGCTGTCACTACTGCAAGGTCTTATAGGTAACAATTATGTATACATAGTTAAATATGCTCGTTTCTTCCATCTTGTTTAATGATTTTTAGGCACGTGTCGGTGGTTGAGCAAGAGTATGGAAACAGGTGATGAAGATCCTACCTCTGCCAAAAGCCTTGGTTTGAAACTAAAAGTGAACAATTGATTAGGATTACTGAATATGATTCACGCCACTCATTTGATCTTTTTTTTTAGGATATCAACGGTGGATCTCCGTTTAACGAAGATTCCTCGTCGTCGCTGTTTAATTACAAGCGTTTTAAGAAAGTGAGTTACCCTGAAGATGGCTTAATTGTTTTCATGATGAAAAATACTTTTTCGTCCATTTTCTTCGCTCATTATGCGTTTTGTGTTTGAGATGAACCGCTCCAAAGGATCTTTACATCGTCCCGGTTTTGCAAGGCGGGTGATGTTCAAGAGTTGAATTTTGAGTCGCGGTTACATCAAGTTACAGCAGTATGCCTGAACAAACTTGATATATTATGAAGAACAGTGAGTCATCTGAAATCGTTTTCGCTTTCCAAAACCGAATAAACTGTCAACTCCTGATTTACGACACTAACGCCAGAAAAGTAGTATATTCCCTTTCCTGTCACTTTTGTGAATTCGCGAAAGTAGTTGCACCTCCACGTTTGCATATACTGGTTTAGGGGTTTTTTCTGCAGACCACCGTTCTGTGGTATTTTAGCACCTGCAGTTTCACGGGTGCAAAACAGCACCACTTTGTTGGGTCGAACAAATGCATATATTTCATATATTTCCTTTCATAGGTACTATAATTAACAATTAACCTGGGTATTACGTGTTTACTGGCGAACTGCTACTCGTTGCCAGACTGAATTTGCTATCAAACCCGCAATGCCGAGATTTACTTTTATTAATTGTATATTTTTGTGATATTTTAAATATTTTCTGCCGTAAGTATCTGTGTTGGCGCTTTTTGTTGTCCTTTCCGACATTCGTTATCATAATCAAGTGGGTCATTGCTAGACTTGAAAATGGGTACCCTTCGCCGTACTGCTCAGCTGTTTCTGTCATGACTGCATTTTGTCTTACTATCTTTCGCATCATTGAACTTGTGTTTTAAGGATGATTGATACAATTACTAGAAGTTCAATAAATCTCTATAGGTTGCATGTTTTAACCCACAGTTTCAAGGTGTTGTGAATCAGTCTAAATTGTTGGTATATAATTGCCTCCAGAAGTTAATACTGGTTCAGTTCAGTAGACAGAAGAAGTGGATGAAGAAGCAGGAGGATGAGTTGAAATGTCTTCTGGTTCTGTAATGATATGTATACAATCAGTTGAAAGACTTTATTAAGGAGTTAAAATTTCAGAAACAACATTCATTGTCCACAGAAGTAAAATGCATTAGAGGTGCTCTGCGGATTAACGGTTGAAAACATCAACATGTTAACACTTTATTATCACATAACTTTATGTTTGTATTGATAACTTGTAGAACTTTATAAAATCTGTATTGTTTGGTACTGTAAATGAATCTCCACAGGATATGTAACTTCAGCAACGTACCCTCTGTCAGAAATGTTCTATCGTCTCAATAACATGCGTTGTCCTTCATTTCATTGATATGTCATTAACAACATAACCTTCAAGCTGCAGTGATGCCAAAAATAGTAACTCTTATATTGCTGCAAGTGTAATACTTGATAATTAATTTTGTTTTATCAAAAACTGAAACATTTCATTGTTGATATGTGAGTAAACGGTATATGGTACTTTCCTGGAAGAAAATTCTTTCCTTAGTTTCAACTTCTTGCCAACTCATAGAAAATAAACTGCGACGAAAGCTGGAAGATGCTGGAATATTTCTTAGCCAAAGCAAAATACGCTAATGGCAAGGATCAGTCATTAACTTTAAAATCACGATGAAGCAATTATTAGTGTTTGATATTCATCATACCTTTGATGTTAACCTGTAGAGAGAAGAATACTCTTTCTTAAAATTCAGGTGAAAGAATCATGAGCTGTTGTAGAATCCATTAATAGTCATTCTAAGCGTTTAGTCCAAATAAGATATCTGACAACGAAGTAACTTGTGACTTGTCAAAATACCACATGATCGATGTTTTTGCTTTACGCTACACTAATTCGTACTCGCCTTTAGGTAGTCCCGGTAAAAACTAGCAAGAAGATTTTTCGGGAAGGTAAGGATCTTCTTCCGGATTCTAACTTAGGTTGGAGTTCGATGGATTGCTGATCGTGTCCAGCTTACGATGCCAAGGGAGGAAATGTATTTCATGAAAAAAGTTGCCTGCATATTCGCTTGTTGATTAAACGTTTGCATTTTTCTTGTAAAATTGTTTAGTAAAATTTGTCAATGCCGTTTTATTTGTTTGTCTGACGAAGTTACACTTTCTTCTGTTATTTATTGGCGCAATTGTTTCGGGTACCCGTAGATGTTTTATCTTGCTTATTCCTATCTACATCCTTTTTGACCGTACTTTGAATTCATTTGGAGTTTTCGCTCGCCTAGGTTAATAAGTTAGAATATTTACAAGAACGACGTCTCCTCTCTCTGTCGTTTCTTCTCCAGTGGTATGATTCAAAATCCATAGAAGATGAATAAATATATTTGTGTGATGCGAGGCACCATAAAGACGACACTCATTCAGGTTTCCACTAAGTTGCTGAGCACTCTTAGTCAACTAGACTCCAAGGTAAAATACACCAGTATTTGGGTGTGATTCTTTCGTTTGACTTAACCTTACATAAACATGACCTG